ATATATAATTATTTAATTTTGTAAGATAATACAAATAATATGGGATTTGAATTGTATGTTTTGCATGCGGAGATAAATGGAACTGGGTTTCCATTATCTTATTTGTTTCTCGAAAGTAATAATCGATGTAAAGATGGTGTACGAACAGGAGTAATACAAAAATTTCTTACTATGTTCCGAGACCAAGGATTAAACCCTAAATTTTTTTTGACAGATAAAGATTATTCTCAAATCAATGCAGCTCGTTTTGTGTGGCCATATTGTAAAATTCAACTTTGCAAGTGGCATCTTAAAAGAGCCCTTAATACAAGACTATCAAGCAACAAACCCACTCGGTCTTCAGGTTTTAATCCACTTTCGGAACTTGGAAAAAAGTTTCCTTTTAATGGAGTTCAGCAAGCAACACAATTCTGCCCAAAAGAACTTCGAGCAAATGTATGGAGTATTATGGAAAAACATTTTCATATGCATCCATTAATTCCAACAGTTGAAGGTCAATTCTTAACAAAAGACTTTATTTATGAAAAATCTGTCTTGGAAATGTATTTATTTTGCAAGGATCATTCTTTGATTTCACTTTGGTCATACCTTTTTACAGAATGGTATAATTTACCAAAGTGGGAATTATGGGCACGCGCATCATGTGAAAATAAGATCTCTATACTAAAGACTACAATGTTCATTGAGGGACATTGGAAAACGCTTAAAAGAGATTTTTTATACAAGTTTTTTCGACCACGAATGGATCTCGTCATATATATTTTAATAAAAAAGGTGATTGTCCATCAACAACGAAAATTACAGCAGATTTATATAGGGAGAGAGAAACCTGAGTGGGTTAAAGACTTTAAGTCAGAATGGAATGCATTATCCAAACAGTCTATTAATCATGCATATGTAACTAATGTGAATGAATGGATTTGCGGATGTCCTTACTATTTGACTAGTCGATTTAATATTTGTAAACACCTTATTTATCAAAAAGGAAGTGTGACAGCAGATTTCTTTAATTATATAAAAAGAAATCATCAACCTCCTTTTTTGATCGAAGAAAACCTTTTATTACCATCTGTGGATAACAATTCAAATGATTATCTTAAAAATAATTTATCAGTTATAAGCGAATCAGTTGAAGAAGATGAAGATGTATTCGATGATTTAATTAACACAACTAAAAAGGCGCTTGCACTTTTAGAAGAGCAAAAATTAGCTGGTAACGTAAAATGGTGCAAAGCAATAAAAAAATCTTTCGATCCTGTTACTAAATTAGTTGAAAACATTGAAAAATATAAAAGAAAAAGGACTATGCCATTAACGTGGAGGGGTCATACAGATAGTACTCGTTATTTACAATAAATAAGAGCTACATATTCTTGAACTGCTGTATTTGAAATAAAAATTTAAATTTGTAATTGCACTAAATTAGTATCGCTCTGAGCTTTTAAATCGTACGTAAGTACATACGAACATACATCTATATATATATGATCGGTAATACGTATCACATGTATAATGCATAAGCCACATAAGCCACATAAAATCACATGCCCGTGCTTTTTTTGATGGTTACGCTGGGGTAGTTCATCAGACCCAATAAATAATCTCCGCAAATGCAAGTTGCCTGATGAAAAAAAAGGGATTACATATCAAACTGCTACAAGAACAAAAACTTTTGCAATGACACTGTATCAAACATTTTGAACAAATTTCTTTTGAAGCATTAATGTAAGACATGATGCAATCAAATAGACTCCATTGATAACCCAAAAAGAAGGCGATTGATCTTATTCTTTTCTTCGGAGGTCATTTCAATTTTTTTAAGTTGAAACATACATTTTTTAGCATCATCCCTTTTTCCGTGATATTAAACCAATTGAAAGAAGTGTAGGGAAAAAAACGGTAGTTAAGGAATTTGGTAGAAATTGCTTCTGAGTATATAAATTAAGTCTAGTTTTAACCCGGATTTCCATAGAATTTAATTAGATTCCAAATCTGTACGAATATTGGCATCATCTTTTTCAAACGTTACATAGTCATTAATGCTATTCAAGATTTTACTTGTATTCCTTTTTATTTTAAAGATTGGAGAATCTTCCCAATCTTTTAGTTGATCAGCACCGTCTTGTTTATCCATAACCTCTACATATAGCTCTAAATCTTTCACAATATCATAAATTTCATCATCTGTCTCATCATATGACGTCAATTATATATAATGTTTAGTAATTTAGAGTTTGTAGTATCCTTGCATAGGGTTGCAAACTTGTCATTTTCTATCTTATTTTTAATGTCGGTTGGAAATTTGTCTATAATTAACCTTGTATCAAATGATTCCTTAGGTTTATTCGGTTTACATATTTCCATCAAAAGACTCATAATTCTTCCAGAACTAATGCATAATCATTAACTTCGTTATTTTCCATCTTTATTTTCATTACCATTCTCATAATAATAATACTAACGACATTAAATATCCTATAATTTGTAGACCGATAAGCGTAATAAGATTCAATTAGCTTTTTGATTTTTTTCCAAATCGATAAATGTTTTCTATTATCTCTTGACTGTTCATGTTTGAGTTAAGTTTATTCTATTTTTCAGAAGTGTCATTGATCATAGAGTTTTTAGCATTGCTTAGATCATCTAAGTTGGTAGTTGTCTTAATTTTATCTCTTGATTGTTCCTGGCTTGAGTTAAGTTTTTACAATTGTTCAGAATTACCACTCATAATTTCTTTTAATATTTCATTTATAATAGAGCTTCTGTCATTATCGCCTAGACATTTTTAAAACTTAACATCTGCTTCTGATTCTGGGACCATTTTATTTATGATGTAGGTTAAATAATTCTAACTATCATCATTTTATGAGAATACCTAGCTCTACTAACGTGGCGTTATTATTATTAATATTTGATTTTTTTTTAATTTATTTAGTGCATCATTAGTAGCTGCGTATTACTACTAATTGGGCTATTTTCTTGAATAGTTTTGAGGATGCCCACAAAACCGTTCATACTTATTAACAAAACTTTAACCAAATTAACGTTAGTAGCACTATCCATATTCTTTACAATTTTCAGAATAATAATGCTAAAAATTTTCAATATTCGTTCCTGCCGTTCCTTCCACTTCTTAGTAAGCTCTAGCTATTTAAGCTCATTATTCTTTTTCTTTGTATCCAATTTCAGCAAAATTTGATTTTGTTTCAGATATTCAATTATTGAATTTATCATTTGCTTCGACGAGTCTTTAAATCCAGCATAATCGTCATCTGCATGGTTATCCCAACGAGTATTCGCCTCCATTAGAGGGATATAAAACATAAGGTATATAGTAAGAATAATAACTTCTACTAGACAAAAACATGAAAAACTAATGAGAATTATGGTCATATAATGGAATATAAATATTTCAGGACTATAAATTATAAAAGAAATAGCGACTATAGATAAGTGCATGACATCAAAGAAATCCATACAGTACGGTAAACCATCATGGTATGAATGTGATTAATAAGTGTTTTTATAAACTTTAAAGGAGATGACTCTAATGAATCTATTTCTGGGAAAATTTCTTAATGAAATATCAATGACTTCATTGCTAAATGATTTGTTAGCAAAAACTTGAAACAAAAGTTCCCAAGCTTCCTACTCCAAAAGCAGATGTTGAAACTATCTTTAATGATGGCTTTATACTATCTTTTCTGAATAAAAAAGATAACATCCAAGTACAAGTGAAAGTATGCATACCATAGCAGCAATAACTAGACGTTGAAAAGATAAAATCCGAAGTTTCTTCCATTTTTCATAATTTTTATTTAGTTTACTCATATTTTCCTTCATGTCGGAGTTTCTGATTCACTGCTCATTATTAATGTTCTTGGTATTTTGCTTATCTTATTTATAACAACGAAACATTAAATAAACGAGGTATTTAAAGCCTTTGTAATGTCCAAAAGGATTATTTGTAAAGCATCCTACAATGTGATTAATTTTGGATTGCTTTATAATTTTCAAATTGAAAATAAATAGAATGAAAAGATAGATATATGCAGGGATACGCCAGTATTTGCGTCTAGATGAACTCAAGCGAGTGAGAGATTTCGAAAATTTTGAATTTATCGTTATTTATAGCAATGATGACAATATAGCAAGATTTTGCCAAAAAATTTTTCGTACTGATTGAATAGAATTGAAATTTCCCGTTGTCGTTGTCACGAAAATCATGAGCCACACCTTTACAAATCACAATAATAAAGTAATACGATCTATAATAAACACATAGCCATTTATATTTTCTTATTTGAAAGTGGATAGAAACTTAGATTTTTAAATATTCAATAAAAACAATTATATGCATTAGGATCAATTCCAATTCTAGAAACGATACTAAAATATATACGTAATCGTTTATACAACCGATTATTTTAGAATAGAGTTACATCCATAATACTATAATTAAATTCGGTTAAAGCATGACCGAAGCCACCAGGCTCGAGATCTTTACTGTGACATGATCGACGTGCAAATAGTATTCAACACGTGCTATTTGGGTTTGGCTCGAGGCGAAGCATCAATAGAAAACAATAATGTGGAACCTCTGGTTGTTGAATAGTCATAAATTCTTTAATTAAATAGGATTCTCACAAATGCCTTAAATAGTTATATTGTTGTTATCCTGAATAAGTGCTATGTGTGATAGCAAAGTCCCGATAAATAGCGATAGGATTCAGAGTAAAAAGACTTTCATATGATTGGCTGTTTAAATAAGTACTATTTATTCCCCCGCGAAGCGGGGAATAATGAAATATTTCCCCGGATTTTTTCGGCTCCGATAGGAGCCAAAAAGAAAAAATCCGGGGAAATAATTGACTATTATTTCCCCGTAGCGGGGGAATAAATGCATTATTCTCCCGTTTTATTAATTGACGGCCGGAGGCTATTTCCCTACTGAGTTTAAAATTATGTTTTGCAAAAATAACATTAAAATCCCCATCAAAAACAATTAGTAAAACGGGGAATAATTTATTATTTAATTCTATAAGTTTATTTACACTGTTTTTCAAATTACTGTGATCAGCAGATAATCATCAATAACATGGAAATCTGTAAAATTCCATTAGGTTCATTATTTTTTCAGAATTCCAAAGAATCCTTGTGTTACGAAAAATGACGTAACAAATTAGCATTATACTTTTTTTGTGTAATATTATAATTATCTTGTAATTAGATAATGATCGAAGTAATTACTATATTATACTTTGTCGATCATTGCGATATTTTATAGAATTAGCTCATATCTTACATTTTGCATAATACAGTAATAACTAATTAAAGCCTAATAGACAGTATAAATAGGGGTTATTGAGCACTAATAAAAGGTTAGAAGGTTTTAGAGGTTCTTGAAGATTTTGAGTTAATTAGTATTTTTTAGAGGTCTCTTTGTGTACTGGGCACACTTTGGGAAGATACTTACTTTGTATTGGTTATGCTTTTTAGTATTTCTCTTGCCTTGTACATTGCAATAAATAGTTTGTTTCCTATTTTTAATGCTTACGACCAGTAGTTAAATTGGCAGTGCAATAATAAGTCTTCCCTTGCCGTAACACCCTGTCAAATTCCGATTCTCTGGTGTAGTGTACTATATCTTGTGATGGTCTGATCAAAAAACTAAGATTTTTTAATAGTTTTTCTAAAACTTCTCAAACTTCAAGTGAAATTATCTTGGTAATAGCTGGTCATTTCGATATTCAAAGCTATTTTCAAATTCTAAAGGTTAGTAGGATTTAAACATGGTCTTAAAAGTTGAAATTTACCGGGCTATTGTTGAGAAATCTTCACTCAAACTTTCAAAAATACTTAATATTAGAATTTTATACATAATATACGCAACATTTGGCTAGTATAATTTTCACCAATCACAAGCATGCATTTTATAGCGGTTTGCAAAATTGTATGACCCGCAATTTTCGTGATAACAATAGTGGGAAATTTCGGAGATTCTAGATTTTATATCAATCATCTATTCGATCAGTGATATCTATATATATTTGGAATCTGTATAATTCTCTTAGAATTGAATTTCCGCAATTTTACATTACACGATAATTTGCAGAGGTCACATCTTTTTGCAAACCGCATAAAATCAATTTGTAACATACAAGTCCCAATGTAAAAATGGAAATAAAAAAGCTCGTGATTTACTATAGAAACTAGTTTTTCAAAGATTGAATAAATTTTTAGGATAGCATAGAATTAGGCGAATTAAATTAATTGCCCGTTTTGCATAGCATAGAATCTCTGCGGGCGGATTGTTTTCTATCAGTCCTATCGGATAAATACGGGATCTATCGGAGACACCGGAAAATTACGGAAAAATTGAAAAATTGAAAAAAGACAATTACATAATCGGGTTCTAATATTTTTTAAAAAAAATTATGCAGAATTCCAAGGTTACTAATTTTCTATCCTTTTATTATTGGAAATTCTTATTGTTTACTGAAATACTTTAAATGACTTTATTTCGTATTTGTTTATTAGCAATAAAATGTGATTTTATTTCCTTTATTGCGTATTCTTGGAATTGTGAAATTGATTCAATATTTTCAATGTTACCCATTTTTCGTTGCAGAAGATTGTGTGCCTGTTCCACATCGTTACGGAATTGGACGCGTCATTCGTGAATTGTGAAATGAAGTAGGTCGTTTTAGAATCGGTATCCATTTAACTATTAAAAAAAAGCGAAAAAAATAAATATTAATTAAAATAAAATAAATTTAAGAAATAAAAAGCGCATAAAAATAAATTCTAGGTATGCTCTCTTGGTTATTTGCTAGCTAAATTTTCATACATTAAACGAAAAATTAATTAAAATAAAATAAATTTAAGCGAATAAAAATGATTAGATGCTCGCCTAACGTTAATTGCTAGCTAAATTTCATGCATTAAACAAATACACTCAAATATTCATATATAATTTAACCATGTAATTAAAAGTCTTTAGATTTCTCGCGTAGAACACATTCGCGTTTCTTGAGCAAAATGAATTCCTTTTTTTGTGACTTGGTGTCGCAATTTGTTTTTCAGCAATGACAGGTGTTTTGAACCAATGTTATTATTCGTAACACTAATGCTACAAAAATTATATAATTAATAATAATAATATTATTATTATTATTGTTGTTGTTTTATTATTTCTTCATGGAACATATTTGGCGGTACTTACTAATACTATGAGCTTGGCCATCTTGAAAATTATAGGTTGGATGTTTGTGATGATTATTAGTCGATCTTTTATTGCTACGAGTTGGACGTGTAAGGTTTTGTATGACACCTTCTTCTCTTAACGAAAGTATGTTATTTAGTGGTACAACGTTGAGATTAGGATAATCAGGGGTACCAGCGGTTCAAGTTCATTTGCTGAGTACCAATTGTCGAGGAACCCAAATTTGCAGGCGATTTGGTAACAATCACGGTTAGGTTTCTTTTGAAGGACTTTGCACGGTAGAGACCTTTGATCTATCTTTAATTTATCATTGGTGGAACGCGAATTTTTACTAAATCACCAGGTTCATATGTTCGATTTCGGTTTGTTTTATACTTTGCATCCAGTTAGTTTTTAATAATTCACAGTTTCTTTTAACATTTAAAAGAGCAGATAGTGTCGAACTGATGCAATTTAAATTTTGTTTAACTATATAAATTTTTTATTAAAGTTAATATAATACACATACTTGAACGTGATTTAGAAAACCTTCGGAAACAATAGAGTGCATTGGTGGGACTCTTAGAAATACGTCGAGTAACACACACTTTGCATTCATTAATCAAATTCTCAACTAACTGCTGGGGAATATAGCAGTATCTGGTCCGAATATAATAAGAAGGTTATTATTATTATTGTTATTTTTATTTTTAAAAAACAAACATAAATTTACCTTTTTTCAGCTTTTTTCATGGTAAAACTTTTTTTGGATATATCAAACTTGTGTCCTCAAGTTATTCTTGTCTTATTTAAGCAGATACAGTTCCTCTGTTGCACCAATACGATGAATGTTAAAAATATTAAGGTCTGGATTTTTTATTACATTTAAACATTCATTATAACGACTTCTATCCATCAAGCTTCGCTTGTTTTTCATTTTGTTAATGAATGTCTCTAATATTCGGTTGAAGGTTTCACGGGTCATAAGGGTATATTCTTGCGAATCCATAAGGGTTGAAGAAAATATGTAATTAAAGCGGTAAAAGTCGATTCGAATATATAATGAATAAAAAAAATAAAGCATGCGACACTAAAAGAATTGTTTTATAAATATCAATGTAAATATCAAATATTAATGTAATTAATAATAATAATTATTATTATTATAGTCATAGATAAAATACGTAATTATTATCATCGTTATTAAGAAATAGCATGATACGTAATTATTATATTGCTGTAGGTCTCATGATCTGCATAACAAATCGACCCGGGCCATTTCACGATCGGTGAAAATCGAAAAAACACGTGCCAATTGCGTAACGACATATTCATGTTCAAATAACTTTTATATTATACCTCGTGATAGTTTTTAATTCAAATTCATGTTCTCATTCGCCTTTATCTATATTATATATATTCTGCTTTGTTCATCTTCCATAATAAGGCCGTTCAAAGTTGATTAGTTGTTTAACGTCAACATTTTGAGCTCAAGCTCGGGGGGGAGGGAAAATTTAAACAAACACATATACGACACAGAATATTTGGTCAAATCTCATTGGTCAACCTTAATCACATGATTATTGAAGATTATTTTGCATTGTGATTGGCTTGTTTAATTTCCGGGGGGACAGCTAACCAAGAGGGGGGGATGACGTTAAACAACTATTCAACTTTGAACGGCCTAAAGGATAATTCGAACTTCATTAAATTTAAATTATTAGATTGTTTTTTTTTGGTTTTAAAGTGACTCTTGATCGTCTGCTTTTATTTTAATGAAAGCAAGAAAAAAAGTTAGAACGTAGAATGAGTGAAATAATAATGAAATACAAGAAAATGACAAATTCTAAGCTTGATAATTGTAAAAAGGATAAAAAACATGCTTCAAAACCATAAATAGATAATTAGTAATGAATATGCTTTTATTCTTACTGTATTTTTAATAAAACGAATCTTTTGTGAAAGCATCTTATTAATCCTCTTTGAAAATAGATGGTTTATTTATTTGAAAAGTATATTTATTACAGAAATTGTCATATTACAGTATTATTACAGTATAAATCGATATCATCTATATCACTTGAAATACCGCAAGTAACAGATCTTGGTGGTTATACTAGGTTCGTGTGGCACTTTCACGTACGGTGCTTAGATTTTTTTTTTTGATACGTGTGATTTAATCTAACAGACAATTATAAGATATTGGTCATGTAACCGATTAATATCATGATCCAATATCGATGTTATCGTGCAATTATGATCATGATTTACGAGTCGTGGTTGGCTAACTGAGTTTTAATTCGGGATTGTTGTGCTTACGTAATAACGTACAAAAAATAACAAGAAAAAATCCATGATCATAGGAGTTTGCACGATAATTAAACTTTATATGTGATCAAAAATTTCAGTTGTAGATGAGAGTGCTGTCAATGGAAAACTTCAATACTGTGAATATGAATTTTGGAACACGGATTTACAGGTTTACTTTGGCATCACACTTGTATATACGCGTTAATTTTCAATTTATTAGTTGCCTGTATATTAGAAAACAACTTGCGCTGTTTTGTAATCTGTACGTATAAATTTAAAATATTACTATGTAATTAAATATATGTTCAATTCAGGGCCAGTCTTATGCATGCTAAATATGTAAACATTTTAATGAGGTTTCATCTTGATTATTTTTATTTAAATTTATATTTATCAAAAAACAAAATTCAAAGATATATTGAGGAGTAAAATATATTTTAAAGTAGTAGGTAATGAGGTCGCCGAAATGTTTTGCAAAGTGCTTTTGCCAATATTTTTTTTAACGGCAAGTTGATTGTTACAAAAATTTAAAAATGTTAAATTCATGTTTTACGATGAATCTTGACATTATTTTTAACCTTTCAAAACCAATTTAACGTTAATTGTTTCAATAGCTAGAAAAGATAAAATAGTGTTTCTGTAAAAAGCTTTTTATTATCATTTTTAATTCTTTAAAATTAAATTTATTAGAACTAAAAAACAAACACTGTTGGAATATCTGGAGTGCTAGCTAAAAATATAATATATTGGTTGGTACTGTAAATTTATTATAAAGATAGGTGCGGACACAAACTCTATATTATTAAAAAAATTAGATATTGCATATTCGTGCGGTGTTACGGCCAGGGGAGAGACTTTGTATCGGCTGAGCCAATTTAGCTTAGGGTCGTAAGCATTAACATGAGAAACCAATTGTTTATTAACACACACAAGGCACTATAAAATATTAAACCAATATCCTTTATTGTGTCACAGACACTAAAATAACCAATATTCCTATTCAACTAACCAACCTAGCAAGTTCCAAACTTACTAAAACCAAACCCTTTCCCAAAGAGACCTTCTCTAAAACTAAAGAACTAACTTATTTACTAACTAACTACTACTACTCAAGAACTAAAAGACAAAACGCTCTATATATATCTACTAATAGACTCTAAAATAAGCTATAGACTATGTACATTTGTGTGGTACAACGATATAAAGTCTAATTAGAGTAGGCTCTATAACTATACTAAACTATGATAAACTTTGCATAATTATTAAAATGTTACACATCAAAGTAAATATGTTACACAAGCGAAAGTTTAATTATGAAACTTTGTTGCGTAACAGCGGTAACGGGTAAATTTTTACGAAAAATATATCTCATGCCGAAATTTATCCGAATTTTGCAAAACGTAAGTTGATTTAA